TGATACAGGCAAGTAATAAAAGGCTTTCAAAAAAGTATTTACAAGAAAAAAAAAAATCCTCAAAGAGGGAACTAAAAGGAATCATATCCAGAATAATGCTATTTGGGGAGGGTAGGAGTCCTTTTCATACAGTAGTGTTGTACTCAGTATGTTAGTTTCAAAAACTACAAGCCTACCTTCCTAAATTGAAAATGCCTCATTAAAAGTGTTTTCTAATTAAAAAAAAAATAATTCAAATCTGGAGTAGCAAATACTTTGTTTGCTAGAATAAAGAACACAAGAGGAAAAAAAAAGTCCTTAGATCTGAAACGGTAATGCAATGATCGCTAAAATACATGATTCTATTTAAAATGCATTTCAGTATCTTTTTCTACTTAAAGCATATTTTTTAAATGTATGTTCTGCTTAGAAGAATAATTCTCAAGAGGTACCTCTCCTAACCTGAATCTCAGAATAAGAAAAAGGAACAAGCTATGAAAAGCTATTAACACTAATTCAAGATGACCAACTACAGATATCCATATCAATCTCAGATAATCAGAAAATTCACCTCCAACTAGCGAAGTTCATTTTCTAAATGAAGAAAGCCTTCCAGTAATCTCAATGTATAGTTAACATGAAATAAACTCTAAGGACCAGAATCTGGTCATAAAACAAAAAGAGGGATAATATCAGACCTGTCAAGTCCTGCTTTGCCTTATCTCCACAAGACTTACACACCAGATCTGAAATGGAAGCATGCATTTTCACACAGACTCCTGGCCCCTTAGTACATCACCAGCATTTTACTTTCTCCTTCAGAATTTCTCTATGCCACATTCTTCAAAACTGGTTATCTGCACATATTTAAAAAGAAGTATTATTTAAATTGGTTTGCTTATGGCTGACTTTGTCAAAAAAGACAGAATGAATAAGTGAAAGTTTGCATTCCCCGAAGAAAAATCCGAAGATAATGAAAAACGACTCAGAAGCATGCTAAATAGCAGGAGGAAGAATTACAATTTTCCAGATAATTCACTATTTAACAGTTGACCATTTAAGTGCAATTCAATACATATTTGGAGACCTAGACAAAGTGCCACCCTGGATGATAAAATGGATACTAAACAGTCCCAGATCTCAAGGGGGTAATAATCTAATTGGGGAGGGGACAAATAAGGAAACGAGCAGCTATTGTTATATTAGATAGAACTGAGAACAGAAGTAAACCCTACTTCGAAGATTCAATGGAGGGAGAAGGTGACTCTGCTTGAGAGGGAACAGGAACCCAGTAAAGAACAGTTCCCCAGAAGTAGGAGAGTCCTTTTCATATAGTAGTGTTGTACTCAGTATATTAGTTTCAAAAACTACAAGCCTACCTTCCTAAATTGAAAATGCCTCATTAAAAGTGTTTTCCCAAGGAAGCTGCAGTGGGGGGGTGGGGGGTGGTGGTGCTGAGCTTCCATGCATAAGGCTGATTCAACCCCAGGTTCTGAGGAGTCTGTATTTCATTAAGCAAACAGGAGCCCTCGAGGTTTTGTGTAGGGCAATCCTAAGGACAAAGATGATTTAACTAGTGATGAAGAGGACAAAATGAGAGGAGGCTGAGGCTAGCAAAAGGATTACTGTGGATTAACAACAACAATAACAACAACGTAAGAAAAATGGGTGAGCCCTAGGGCGATGGCGATAGGTAGTAAGGCAAGGGAGGAAATGCAGTCCCGCTCTTACCGCCAGCCAGGGAAAGAGAGGATGAGAAATGTCTTAGCTTCCACCTTGGGTTATTAAATGAACTGCGGCTTCATTCACCAAATGAATAAAATTAGTCTTGTTTTGACCACTAGGAAGCTCAGAGCCAAATATTTGGCCTATTTCTAACATATGGCAAGCATTTATGTGCAGCCTGTGAATATAAAGTTTATTTTCCTTCTCTTTTTAAAATTTATTTGAGAGAGAGAGAGGAGAGGGAGAGGGAGAGAGAGAATCCCAAGTAGACTCCACACTGACTTGGAGCCTGACCCTGGGCTTGATCTCATGACCCCAAGATCATGACCTGAGCCGAAATCAAGTCGGACGCTTAACCGACTGAGCCACCCCGGCAACCCTATTTTCCTTCTCTTCACAGGCTTTTATCTGTACTTAGTAAGTCACCTTTAATTATTTTTAAATGAGGCAGAAAATAAACCAACAGATTAAGAAAAGATTGAGACCAAGCCAGAGATAGCTGGACAAAGTAGCTGGCTCAGGGATATAACCTGTAGGCTGCCAACCCAGAGCATTCTCCTCACTGCTCCTCTACCCTAGCAAAGGCCACATCTCACAAAAGCAGCTGAAAAATGCCAGACTTCCACTTTTTTAACCTTCCTTACAAGTAGCAGTGCCATGAAATCAGTTCTACCAAATGAAACTGAAGGGGAAGTCTCCAAGGTGACCTTCTAGAAGACTCCTCTCTGCTAAGAGGGAGTTGTAAGAAAATATCCTTCCTTCCTTCCCTGTCTCACACAGGCATGATGTCTGGGGCCACAGCAACCACATGGCCAACATGAAGCAATGAGCCTGAGGCTTTCCATAAGCCAAATACTAAAAATAGAGGAATAAAAGGATGGAAAGAGCCTAAAGTCATCAAGCACATCATTCAGACACCGTACCACCCTTACAACCATCTATTCTCTACACTTCTTGCTACTGGACAATAATAAATTCTATTATTTATGCCATTTTTAGTTGTGTATTGTTACTTGCCAATAATGGATACAACACAGTCAAATCATGAGGTCAGTTTCTGACAGACTGACTTTTATTCTGCTGAGTTAACAAGATTATTCTTGAGATGAGAAAATGCAAACATGTATTATTAGTCAGGAAAAAAGCAGTAAGCTATAAGAGCTGCTGGGAGCAGCTACAGATAAAAACAGAAAGGGATGTAATGATAAATAATTATTTGAAAAAGCATGATCAAGTATTGATAGGGGCACTGCTTGGAGGCAGGAACAAAGGAAGGAAAGAGTAAATGAATAGAAGTCCTCTAAGATGGAGAAAATGAGGGAGACTTTCTTTTCTGGCAATGTTATAAACAAGATAACCTAAAAATCCTTCCCAATATAAAACAGTGAAAAAATTCTGGGTAAAGTATAAGAAACATCTGTTTAAATGCATAGCTAAGCTCACATGAAAATAAAGGACGTCCCCAAAGGCAAAAATCAAAGAGGACCCTAAAATCCACAGCATAAAGTAGAAGCTGATCATGTTTCTAAAGGGGCTGGAGGAGAGGGGGATTGTGTGCATGTAAAAGGTACCTGCCCTTTGGGATGTAACAAAAATAAAAAGGGAAAGAAATTACTGGCCTAATATTTTCTTTTTTTTTTTTTTAAAGATTTTATTTATTTGAGAGACAGAATGAGATAGAGAGAGAGAGCATGAGAGCGGGGAGGGTCAGAGGGAGAAGCAGACTCCCTGCTGAGCAGGGAGCCCGATGTGGGACTCGATCCCGGGACTCCAGGATCACGACCTGAGCCGAAGGCAGTTGCTCAACCAACTGAGCCACCCAGGCGCCCTGGCCTAATATTTTCTTTAAAACACCATCTTGAAGACAATTATAACTCTTGTTTTCAATCTTGGACACTTTACGTTTTATATGAACAAATTCCAGCATTAAGTGCATATTTTAAAAAACATGTCAATATTACATATTTACATATCACAAAGGGCTTCCTGAATATTTCATCATAAGATTAAGTAAAACATAAGATGGACAGAAATCTTTTCCTGAAAAAACCATACATTGCCCAATTTTTCGGCCACGATTTAATCACTAATCATTTAATCAAGTTCAGTATATTTGTAACTATACTAAAAGGTTTCCAAATTTTAGGACTTTTTGGTAAAATTTTATCACTAGGGTCATTATAACATTCTTCCAGTGACTATGCGACCAATAGTTTCATAATACCTTATGTATCATATAAAAATAGTGTTATCTCTGAGCTAATCTTATAGCCCTCTACACGACAGATTCTGCAATGTACAAATTCAGTATATAAATGGTAATGGGAACTGGGATATGGTGTTTGGGGCATCTACAGACTGAGAGGATGGTCTGTAATATTAAAGAGGCAAAGAGAAAAGAATTACAGCCCCAGCTAAAAACAAAAACACAAAAACCTCTTAAGGTCGTCCACTGAGTTTACGTTCTGCTAGCCTCATTTGCTTCCCACGTTCCCTTGAAAACTGAAAACATCCTATATTCCCTTTGCTCATCTTCATGCTGGCTTTATGAATGGGCACAGTTCCACCCTAAATTCTATCAAGCCGCCTCCATCATTCAATTCATTTCAAGACCATCTTTCAAAAAGTCCTATTTTTGGGCAGTTCAAACAGCCCAGGAAATACAAACACATAATCCATGTTATCTTCACAAAGGTTACATGGGTCTCCACTACATTCCGAGATTTACCTAAGACGAAATCTTTTAACCTGTTTACATACACTGGATGCCACAATAAATACAGCATCCTAAACTCTGCTTTAGACTGTGCTGCATCTTGAATGTTTCTCCAAGCCTACGTGCTAGATGGTAAAAGACTAAGCATTTACTCTACAAATAAGGCCACCAAATGCACGGGGAAGTAATCAACTCGGGAATCAAGAACCCAAGTGTGAAAGGACTGCGTTTGGCTTGGTTCTCCCCCTCCCGCTGACACAGGGAGAAGGTCCAGTGAATCGCTCCAGTCCCAAGGGACGAGAGAGGCTCCCAAGCGCACGCTAGGGTCCGCTGGGAATAAAGCACGAGTTAGCAGAGCCGGGAGGCTCCGAGGGGCGCGCTGCATTCTGGGACTCGTTTCCACAGTTACCCACGTGCACCCAACCCAACCGCGGCCCCGCGCGGCGCGGACTACGAGTCCCAGAATTCCGCGCGACCGCCTTTCCCCTTCACACCCGGCCACTGGAGCCAGACCCTAAAGGAAACCCCTAAAGCGTCCTCCCCGCAAGCCTGGCAGAGGTCGCGCCCCGCGAGCGCTTACGCGGGGCCTCTGGCCCGGCCCTCCCTGCAGGGAAGCGGGTCCCCAGGCACCAGCGTCCACACCTGACGACCAGAAATTAGACAACTGCGTCACAGACTGCCAATCCCACGGACTGCCTGGGACCCCAACACTTCCCCTGCGCAAAACCCCCCCACACGGTCTCCAGGGCCCGACCCCTCCGGATCCCGCCGCGGAAAACCCGCAGCCCGTACCCCGGCCCCGCCTCCCAGTCCCGCAGCCGGAGCCCGCGCCAGCGCTGACCTGGCTTCCCGCCGCTCTGGGGGAACCGCGGCCAGCGCCAACCTCAGGGCACCTCCCCGCCCCCTCCACCTCAGCCCCGCCCCCTCCACTCCCCGCACCCCGAAGCTCAGGGCTCCCCCTTCCACGGACCCTGTCTTGATCGTGGGGAGAGAACACCTCCCAGAAAACACAGTCTGACACCTTCCCCCCCCGAGCCCCGCGCGGACCGAATCTGGACTTGACAGTCCTCCCCCTGCCCTGGCCCCTCCCAACCCCCCTTTCCTCCCAACTAGCTCTACACCCCCACCGCACCTCCTCTACCCCTGCCCCCATCCTGTCACCCCAAACCCTCCCCTCCTCCTCCTCTCACTCCCAATTACCCTCTCTTCCTAACACCTGCTCAATCCTATTACCCCAACGTCTGCCCCCTCTCACCACTCCCAGTTACCCCACCACCCTTCCTATGCCTCTCCCGCCCGCCGGACTCCCCAACTATCCCATCACACCCCAATCCCTCCCACCACCTCGCTCTCCCGTTACATCAGCCCTCATGTCCGTGCCCGCCCTTCTGCCCCACTCGGCCGCTACCCCCATTACCCCACCGCATTGTTCCCCCCCACCCCCGCCATCCAGCCCTTCTTCCCATTGTCCCCGCCCCCGCGCTCCCCTCGCACTCACCCGCCTTTCTCACGGAGCCGCCCGCACCGCTCAGCCCCTAGGAAATCCTCACCCCTGCGCCCCGCTCGCTCGCTCCCTCTCTTTCTGCCCGCGCCGGTGCCACCCCCGGCCCTGCCCGCTAGCGCCCGCCGCCGCCTCCACCTCCATTCACCCCAGGCACTCCGGTCCCAGCCCTTCATCGCACGTCCCGCCCCCCCTGCCCCCAACACTGAAAAGGAGCCAGTCCCCACCCCCCTCACCTCCGCCCTCCCCCGGTAGGCCGGCCCCTTCCCCCCCACGCCCGCCCCCGCGCCACCCGCAGCGTCACCGCCCGCCCCGGCCCCGGGAGGGGAAGGGGTGGCTCCCGGGCAGGGGCTCCCGGCGCGTTTCGGGACAGGAGGCGGGGGGCGGGGACTGCGGGAACGGAGTGGAGAGTGTTGGCAACCGCCCGGCCCCGGCCCGCTCGCTCTGTTACTCACTGACAGCGGCGGCATCCGAGTGCATTTTCGGGCAGCTCACACCCCACTCGCCGCCCAGGCTCCCGCGCTCGCCTCGCGGTCCCCCCACCGGCTCGCCGCACCTCGGCTCGGAGCTGAGGACCAGCCGCCAGCACACCCGGCCCGCCCACCTCGGCTCCAACCATTGGCTGAACCTCGGTTGAGGGACCGCCCCTCCGCGTCTCTCATTTGACAAAAGGAGTGCGGAGGGCGCCGGTCTGGAGCTGGCAAAGAGGCCCCGCCCCTTGAAGTCCAATGCGATTGGCCCGGCCCCTCGTCCCCGTAACGCCCCTGGCGGAGGCCACGGTCCAGAGCAGCAGGTTGGGCCCGGCTGCTGTCACTCATCCCCGGGGGTCCGAGAGCGCGTGTAGGGGCGAGGCTGGGGAATTGGTCCACCTTGACCCTGAAGCCCCGCCCCGTCACGGGCGGGATTGGTGGAGCTGCAGACCAACCGAGAAAGATGGGTCGGCTTCTGAAACAAAGCACGCGTGGTGTTCCGCGAAGAGCCGAGAAGGGAAAGCACCGTTGGGGCAGCTTGTGTCCCACTACAAGGAGTAGGGCAGTCACCCCCTACTTGGGTCTCCCACTTGTCTCGCATGCCTCAGAGCGGCTCTCAGCAGGAGCCCAGTCCGCGCCGAACTTGGACTGGGACTTCTCTTGCTAGGTGTTCCCTACTACAGAAAACTGGATAAAGAATCGCCGTGTCCTCGTTTCCAGCAAACCCTCGGGTGAGGAACAAATTCCCATTTCTTGTACAACAATTACATCCTCTCTCCGTTTTCGAAACGTTCATCTCTTTCAGAATCACCACACTTCTATCCCCTTGGTCAAAAGTGGGCTGTCCTAAAGGCTTCGAATGCTACAGGCATTGTCCGTCGTACACACATACGCCCCACACAGGATACAGGAAATTCGGGCCCTGACGCTAAGAGGGCCTCATTTGGCTGTTACTTGGCAAAAGAAGGTGTTAATTTAAGTGAATTCTTAGGACCTTGAGTTTCCTAAGGCAAGAATTCGCACCATTTTCACGAGTTGCAACCACTTTTTTCAACGCTTTCCAACCAACTCATCACACTTAACCATAATGTAGCAGAATATTTTGAGATATTTAGGGGGGATAGCCCCCTCCTACCCCAATCACAGGACACCTACACCACTTACCTGTATTCCAAGGCCCTACCCCAACCTACAGCGAAGAGCATTACACACCCCCTCAAGGAATAGGATTATACCACAAACAATTGGTAACAAAACATTGGTCATTTGGTTTTAGATTTCTTCAGCCAAGGCTTTTGAGTTTCAGGGTTCTGAAATTTACGTTTCAAGTCAGGGGATAAATGTCACGCCAAAACCAGTATATTTTGAAAGAACAGGGTCAAACCAGTTCCTCTTACACCACTCCTGTTGTAGTATACTCCATCCCTCTTAATCCCTAATATCTCATGGGTAAATTACTTCCTTATAATTTTATATCTATCATGTTTCTATCATTCAAATATTTATGAATCACTTCACCTAATCATAGAATCTCAGAATTGACCTGAATTTATCCACTTTAGGTTTCAAGATTCTCATCCATATTGGTGACCTTTAACCTGACAGGTCTGTCAGCTGGGCCTCGCAGAGATGGGTAAGTACCTCTGGACTCTGAAATAGGCCATTTCTTGTTGGGCAGATCTAATTCTAAGAAAGTCCCTCCTTACTCGAAACGGAAGAGCAGCTCCTGCATTCTTTATCCCGTCTACATTTTCAGCCTATCATTATCTAGGAAGTAATAAATTACATAGAACTTACACAAATCATATTTTATATATATAATATTCTGCAGATATCACCCCATCATTTTAATAATCCACAAGACTATAAACCTTTGAGGGCAGGAATTTTCTTATATTTATCTTTATGTCCCTAGCATCTAGTACAGTGCTTTCAAATAATAGGCACTCCTTAATTGTTCCTTAAAGTGAACTGAATGTTGACTATAATGTGAAATTTTAGATCTGGGAGAAGCCTTGGGAAAATCCAACTTCCTCATTTTAAGAATATGAGAGTTGAGGTCCAATGGAGTTAAATGTCCAATCCAAGTTACTCAACTAGTAATAACAAAGCCATGACTAAACTCAGGTTTTTCAACTCCTAGACCAGGTCTTTCCTCCTGTACCAGTATCAAAGCTTCAAACTCCGAAGATGGGGAAAGTACTCTTCCTTGCCATTTGAGAGTTGTTACAGCCATCTAATACAAATTCTGTACTTCATAGCTGGAACACTGCCTTCTTTTTTATGAAATTCAACAGGAAATTTTTTCAATATGTAATAGAACATTTAACTTTTTTCTAAATGGTACCATCTCCAAATAACTTGATCTCTGTGGGGATGTTACTGAGGTAATAATGTTACACTTCTGTGCCTTTATATTCAGATCCTTGGGGGGAAAATTAGTGTCTTGGGACTGTGTTGGTAGAGTAAAACTTTTCCCCGAATTCCACACATCCCACCATAGCATGCTTTTCTGCATGTGTTGGGGATGGGGATACAGAGTGGAGAATGGCATAGTCCTAAGACTGAAATAAACTTGGGCCTGCTTAGACAAATAGATAAATACGCCCCTGATAAAATTGGAAGAGAATCGGAAAGATCTCATGTCGGGGAGGAATTAATTCAGCCTCAGATTGCAGTGAAAGAGTATGTGGAACTCCTCTAGTTATCAAAAGACAAGCTAGATGGGATTACATGGAAACAAACAAACCAAAAAAAGTAAATATATCAGTAGAGGTCAGGATAGTTTATTTCTTCAAACTCATAACCAACTGACAGTTTGCTAATCCAAATGACGACAACTTTTTGTTGTTGTTGCTTCCCATGTGATAGGCATTACTCTTATAGTGCTTTGCTTGTTAAAGTATTCCACCTAACCTCACAACACTCCAAGGAGGGTACTAATATTATCCCCAATTTACAGATGAGTTAACTGAGGTTGAGACCGTTCAGTATCTTGCCACCTAGCTAATAAGGAATAGTGTCCCTAAGTGGTCAAACTCCTTGTGTTATAATGTTCTCTCTCTTCTTAATCAGGTTAATGTATGCCCTCCATACCTTTCAGTAAACTGAGGTTTACTGAGAAGGATACAATGATATGGAGGTGAATCTGTTTTTAAAAGATGGTGAAACCTGGCCTCTTTCTAGAATTGAGTATGTAGACACTCAGGCTGCCTTTGTAGATATATATTATGAAAAATACAAGTCTGGAAGATTATTTCCAGGTTACTCCATCCTTATCTATTTTATCCTTTTGACCTTATTTCAATAGCAACTATTGACTTCATGATATATTATTAATGAGATTATTTATCTAGAGTATCTAATGAGGCTCTGCTGAATATAATACGGTCCCTACTCCGATAGATCAGTGGGAGGGGGCAGCCTCTTCAGCCTACTGGAATTAACCTTTTAACTATTGAGGCCTGTGCTACTGGGAAACAGTTTCAGCTCTTAAGCTTTGAATTTCATAAGAATGCCACCTTAACTTATGGTGCTTTTCACATATATACATAGAACAGTTTTGCAATAGCCACTTACCAAATGCTCATAGGTAATAAAAATGTAGGTTTTGTTTTTCAATACCTATACATAGTCATGCCCCAATTACTAGGTTAATGGAAAAAGCGCAGAAGTAGACATTTTCCTCCATTGTCACCAACAGGGACAGTCTCTCCTCAAACTGGTTATGATTGAAAAGCTGAAAAGATGGCATCGTTTGCCATATATCTTGTTCACTACACTTTTTCTTTCATCCGCTTCCTTTTCCCCTGCCCCTCTTATGCTAGAGGTTAGAACACTGAAAATGACACACAAGAAAGTGACCTCTTTCTAATCACTCCAGGTTACTTTGTAGAATTGATATCCTATCATGTGCGTTTATAATGTACATTAAAAGGTCTTCCTTTTTTTTTTTTCATCAACCTCTGTTGGGGCAATAATGTAACTCCCACAAAAAAAAAAAAAAGAGAGAACATAAGAGATGGAACTCTCTGGAACCAACTCTATACTGGGCATTTTTAGCCATGGCAGCACTTTTGACTTTTTTTTCTGAAGCAGAACATAGGCTTAATCCAGATGGCCTGGATTAAAAACCCATTGGCTTAAGAAGTCAGTCCACCACTGAAGACAAATTATTTCACATCTTTGTGTGTCTTGGTTTCCTCATCCGCAAAATAGTGAAAATAATAGGAACTACCTTCTAGGTACGTTGTGAGAAATAAGTGAATGAGTAAGTATCAGTAAAGCACATAAAAATACCTGCCTCCATACCTATTAGCTGCAGTACTCATCATATTCTTGAATCAACCCTTCCCCCCTCACAGCCAGCTTGTCATCACAAATCCTTCTTTTCCTCTAAGC